GCCCGGAACTAAACAAGATTTCTTTATCTCTGCAATTAATTTAAACTGCTGGTGAGCCTTTTAGAGCTGAAAGCAAACCTAAAGGTAAATAACCAATGAGAATTTGCCATGTTCACACCTACTAGTCACAAAAAGGATGCTGGCATTGAGCATTTCTGACCAGTAGGGTGAATAGACAGCCTAAGGAGTTTGAACATCCTTCTTGGTGAAATTTTGGCAAACCACGGGAAATGAAGCAAGCAGGATGGAAATCTAAAGATTGAATTTCCGTCTTCTGGTGGGGAACTCTTTACCTGTGTTGCCTCTCCTGGAATGTAACACCATCCTTTATTTCTTTTGTCTTAACCTCCACTTAGTGCTATAAACAAGACGGGTGCTACCCAATTTTTTTTTATTACTGACAAATTAATAATCTGGAATAAAAGTGTCATGAAAGCAGGGTCTTTGTCTTATTACGTTCTCTATCCCCAGCACTTACAACAGCTCCTACCATAGTGGAGGTGTCTAGTGTAGTGTATATGTGTTTCATGAATGAATCTCAGAAAAAATATCTTTGTACTTTTTGAGTGGAGGAAGGACAAAGAGTGACAACAGAATTAATAACAACATCTGGCATTTGTTGAAAATTGACTAGCCACCTATAATGACAAAGAATATGGAAACGAATATATGTTTGCATATGTATGCCTGAAACATTATGCTGTACATCAGAAATGGGCAGAACATTGTAAACTGACTCTACTACAATTTAAAAAAAAAGAATCATGTACTGAAAAAAAAGAGACAAATGACTATTATGAGCCACTATACTAGATGCATCTCTTAGTTTATCTCAGTTAATCCTCCAAGTCACCCTATTGGGTAGAGATTATACTCTCAGTCTTACAGATGAGAAGGCTAAGGCTCAGAGAAGTGGGGTCAGGGGATCACAGTCTGATGACTAGCGCATGGCAGACCCCAGACTGAAGCCATGCTTGTCTGACTCCGAGCCTATGTCTTTTCACTGAAAGTTGCTCTCACTGTGTCCAAGAGGAGAGAATTCTCTGACAACTGAGGAGCCTCTTAAGGGCCCCCTTCATGTCCTTGTTCCTCAGACTGTAGATAAAGGGGTTCAACATGGGGGTCACCACGGTGTACACTGCTGCGGCTGCCACGTCCTTCTCTTCAGAGGCCACCGAGGGAGGACACAGATAGGCGCTGAAGAGGGTCCCATAGAACACGCAGACCACACAGAGGTGGGAACTGCAGGTGGAAAAGGCCTTGCTGCCCCCGCCAGGAGTTCGGACCCTCAGGATGGCAGAGACGACGTGAATGTGAGAGATGACAATGCACATAAAGGGGACGATGAGCACTGTGCCTCCCAAGGCAAAAACCATCAGCTTGTTGATGCGGGTGTCAGAACACGACAGCTTCAGGACAGAAACTATGTCACAGAAAAAGTGAGCTACTTCTCCAGCAGCACAGAAGGACAGCCGAGCCATGAGGAGGGTGTGAGTCAGGGCAACGGTGTGGGTGAGGACCCAGCACCATGCAAGCAGGAGGGCACAGACTCGAGGACTCATGACCCTGGAGTAGTGGAGAGGGCGGCAGATGGCCACGTAGCGGTCGTAGGCCATCACAGCTAGGAAGAAGCTGTCCAGATCCCCGAACATCAGAAAGAAATACATGTGTGTCAGGCAACCAGCATAGGAGATGGTATGATGCTGGGTCTGAACATTTCTCAGCATCTGGGTTACTGTGGAGGATGTCAAACCCATGTCAACAAAAGACAGACTGGCCAAAAAGAAGTACATAGGGGTGTGGAGGTGTGGGTCAGAGCCGATGGCCAGGATTATGAGTAGGTTCCCAGCCAGGGTGACAAGATACATACACAGGAATATTCCAAAGAATAACTGCTGTTGCTCTGGTGACCTTGATACTCCTCGGAGGAAAAATTCAGAGATGCTGGATTGGTTTTCCATGACTCTGTAGCATCCGGAAACTAGGGAAAACAGAATGAGAGATTTCTTCTAAAACTCTACATGTGCTGTCTCCCAAACCTTCCAACTCCCAAATCTCCCTTTAAATTCGTTTTCATCCCCAATCCTGACTTCAGCTCCAATTTGACCCTACTTTCTTCCTTCTCTCTTTCTTGTGAATATTAATAGTTTTTTCTTTCCTCTCTGTTTCTCTCTGATCAGTCTTTTATACAGAGAGTTGTCTTCCAAGGAGACTCTGGGCATGTACATCTCTGGGATTACCAGGTCCTGGACCAGGTCTATAGCCCATATCACTTTCATCATTGTGGTAGTGTAGATACAGGAGTAGACAGAGGTGAGCTAAATCTTATCTTCTCTTGGTAGCCCCAAATCCATACAAAATTGTTTTTAAAACTCTCTCAATTTCTCATTTTAGACTGAAGGGCATATGAAGAACTCATGTCCCCTTATTTCCTTATCTTTTCTTCTGAAATAGGAAATACGGGGTTCTGCATTTCCCTGCATCTGAGTTTTGTCATTGGCACCACCATCATCCTGTAGCTAACATTCACTAGCCACGTGTTACATGTCAGATACTCAACTAAGCATTTCATACAGATAGTCTCCTTTCACCCTTCAACCAGACTAGGAAGCAGAAATTATTATTCTTAAGATTGTATAGAGAAAACTGAGGCTAAGATATCTGAGTAATTTGCACCCACAGCTTGTAAATTTCAAGACAGAATTCAAACCCATGGCACTGGATGCCAGAGATTACGTCGCCAATCAGTATAGGTAGAAAGTGATTTTCTATCACCACGTTTATGGCTAATCCCTCAGTATTCCTAGTTTAACGTCTTTGGCCTCACTTGCCCCTCCTATCTTGTCTTTTATAGAAGAATAGTGAAGTTTAAGAACTAGGAAGAACCTACAAGATCATATGGTCTAGAGATCCCCAAACATTGGTCATAATCATAATCAAGTGAGATGCATGTTAAAAATACGGAATCCTCAGATCTTCTCAGACCTATTGAGTTACATTCTCTAATATATAGTTCCTGTGCTTAAAAACTAACCAAACCCTCCTCAGTTGTGTTGATGCTTCATTGGGATTAGATTCTTTTAAAAAAATTTTTTTAGCAGGGAAGTAATTAGGTTGATTATTTATTTATTTATTTATTTAAATGGAGGTACTGGGGATTAAATCCAGGACCTCGTACATGCTAAGCACACACTCTACCACTTCGCTATACCCTCTTCCACTCAATAAGGATTAAAAAGAATTCATCTAATTTAACTCTTCGATTTAATTCACAGATTAATAAGCTAAGGTTCAAAAAAAGTGAAGTTATTAAAACAATTTACATTGTGCCCTAGAAGATATGGTCCAAGAACCAGGGTTTCCAGGCTCTTCACTAGTGACCTTTCTTTGAAGGCAGCTATCCTTCCATTTTTCACTATTTTTATTAATATTGTACAGACTAAATATGTTCCTACGACTGATTTCTATTAAAATCCACACTAAAGAAAAACTTGCCTACAGGTTATTAGAATATTTATTGAAACCTTATTCATATTTCGAAGTTAATACTCCAGACTTTAACAGGAGAAATATCTGAACACAATTACGTATTTCTTTACTTCCAACCCCTACACTAATTGAAGAACATATCTCAGAGCTATATCGCCTCTTCTGAGAGACCAGAAGTCCACAAGCTAAGTTAATTTTTTCCCCTACTCCATCTTTCTGTGGAGAATATGATGCCTCTAACTGGGCACATTCGAATAACCCTGTCCTGGAAGGTGACAGACTCTTAAGACCCAAATGATTGTGCATCTCATCAAAGGGAGGGTGCTTTCCTGACCTGCAGATCCTGCCTTCAGAAATAAAGTCCTATTTTTCCATTTAGCCTCTCAAGGGTACTGAAGTATTTTAGGACAGAGCTGCATCTCTTTCATTATCTCTGTCAGCATATAATGCCTTGATCAGCCTATTCATATAGTGTCCCTCAGTCTATGGAACCAACCAGTTGACATCAAAATATTTTCCAAATTCTCAAAAAAAAAACCAAAAAAGGTTCATAACTTTCTATTGCAAGCCCAGCTTTTAACCTTTGTCCTTTTTTCTTCTCTACTTAAGAGCCTTATGCTACTATCTCTTGCCTTATCTCTTGGTTCCTCTTTCCCTGAAAGAGTTTCTCATCCTTCATCCTGACTGTAGCCTCAGAAAACTCTGTAGCCCTAGAGACAGCAATGAGGTGCTTACAGAACCTTGGGGAAACCTCTGCCTCTGTCATCCTGGCTGATAAGGTCCTTTTACTTACTTCTGCTGCTTCTTCACCTACTGTGTCTGCCAACAGCTAAGAGCTGGCTTGGACATGATGGAGAGATGATTCCAAAGGCACGACCTGCTAGCCTGCAATTGTGTGTCTCAAATTTCTCTTCTCACTGCTACCCTGGTTACTGAGAAGTCACTGTAGATGTCTTTCATTTGGGAAGATAGAGGGAAGAGCTCAGATTCTTCCCGCCAACCTTTGTGATGAGATTACGTGGAATCAGGATTCAGGGTCAAGAATAATAAATACAGGTGGCAAACAGGCAGAAGTATAAGTCAGATTACTAAATGGATGTAAGTTTGAGGGGGAAGGGAGCAAGAGAAAAAGAGTAGGATTCCCACTGAGAAGCCCAAGAGATCAACAAAGGACTGCAAAGCCAAGTGAGGGCTAGGTCTGAAGGGGAAGTTGGGGTAATCATAGTTACCTTTTTCAGCTGGAACAGAGAAGATCAGAAAAAAAAGAGTCTGCACTGAGTATTTAAAATGATCTGGGACACGTGGTACCCTGATACCACTCAACCCAGGTCTCCAGGAATTTTGAAGTATTTTATAGTTTTATTTTGAAGCCTGAACAAGTGACTTGGAAACAGGGAGCTGGCTCATCAGGCTAATACCAGCAGGAGGCTGAACAGGGCTGTACTTTGGGCATATACCGACAGAGAGTCATGGTAAAGGGTTCCCTAGAGCCTAGTTAGAGCTAGTAGTCATAATAGCCCCATTTTTTGCCTCTGTATCTCATGTAGCAGACCAAATTAGTACAGTGCTGGCTTCATTAAAAATTTTGGAAGCTTTACTTCTTTCTCTTGATTAACAGAAGCACTGAGGAGCTATGCTATTTGTATTGATCTTTAACCATGGCCCATGGCAAAAATGCATTTTCTATGTAAATAGATCTCCTAGCTGCCTTCTTGCAACAAGATTCCTGTCCCTAAACTCTTTCTTTAAAGAAATCCAGGAACTTCCAATATCTACATATACAGTTTAGTGGCATATGACATGCGTTTCTTAAAAAATTCTCAAGCTTCTGGTTAAAGAGGTTAAAGTCACCTTTCCATCTCCAAAACTACTAAAAGCAAAGAGGTTTTTTGGAAAAGCATAAAACCCACAAGGACCCAGAAGCGTGGAAAGCAAACAATAGTAAATTTCGAAAGTTGGAAAGCAGATGGATGAGTGAGCCGTGATCAAGATGCTCTTACTTCCCTCAACTTAGCTAAATGTTAGACAGTCTTTTCCTGATTATTGGCTGCTGATCTCAATGGTGTTTTTTTTTCTTTGAACATCTACTTTAGAAAAATTGCATTGTAAAATTCTATATTTTCCTCTTTGGGATGTAAATCTTCTCCTAGGCTCTTGCCAGTTACAGCCTAGTTCTTCCAACCTAGGGATGTCTTTCTCAAGGACCTGGGAACGATCCCTTTGAAATGTAATCATCAGGAAAGATAGAACCTCTGTCTCCCCAGTCTCTGTGAAAGTAGGAGCCTAACTTCATTAGAGGCCAATTAGCAAACACAGATGCCCTATACCATTGACCTACCTTCTTTATAACATCCTCCAGTACTTTTCCACTATCTAACCCCAACTTTTAGAAAACCCCTGCCTTTTGTTTCAGCAGAGTTGAGTTCAGTTTCTCTCCCCTATTACAGTAGTCTTGATTAAAGTCTTCCTTGCTCATTTAACTCCATGTGGTGCAATTTTTCTTTGATAGTGGTAAGTGGGTTAACAGACATGGAAAATCTGAATACTAAACTGGCAGTAGGTAAAACAAAAGAATCAAATCTTGTCAATATTGAAGAATCTACATAAGGCCCAGAAACTGGAAGCTCTGAGTACCTCTGGATCTGAGAGTGAATGGGAAATGAACTAAGAGGTGATAGCTATTTCAGAAGAAGTCGAACCCCTAGATTCTAGTTTTCACTCCTCACCATGGGAATACTGTCCTTCTATCCTAGCAGAAATTGGAAAGTTAACTTTCTGGAGAATGTTGGGGCCAGACATTGCCTCATGCAGTTCAGATTAGTGAATCATATTAAAAAACAGGGTGATTAGATGACTATATATAACATCAAATGTTCAGTGGTGGACTCGCAGACATAGTAAACAATCTTATGATTACCAAGGGAAAGTGGGTGGGAAGGGATAAATTTGGGAGTTTGAGATTTGCACGTTAGCCGCTATATATAAAAATTGGTTTAAAAAATACAAATTTCTGCTGTATAGCCCAGGGAACTATTCAATATCTTGTAATAACCTTTAATGAAAAAGAATATGAAAATTAACATTTATTATATATGCATGG